TTCCACAGTAGCTGTACCAGTTTGCATTTAAAAAAAATTTTTTTTTTAACGTTTATTTATTTTTGAGACAGAGAGAGACAGAGCATGAACGGGGGAGGGTCAGAGGGAGGGAGACACAGAATCTGAAACAGGCTCCAGGCTCTGAGCTGTCAGCACAGAGCCCGACACGGGGCTCGAACTCACGGACCGTGAGATCATGACCTGAGCCGAAGTCGGCCGCTTAACCGGCCGCTTAACCAAGCCACCCAGGCGTCCCCCAGTTTGCATTTTGACCAACAGTGCATGAGGGTTCTTTTTTCTCTATATCCTCCCTAACACTTGTTGTTTCTTGTGCTTTAATTTTAGCCATTCTGACAGTTGTGAGGTGCTATCTCACTGTGGTTTTGATTTGCATTTCCCTGATGATTAGTGATGCTGAGCATCTTTTCATGTCTGTTGGCAGTTCCTTTGCCCATTTTTGAATTGGGTTGCATTTGTATGTATGTATATGAGTTGAAAATATTTTCTCCTATAGATTGTCTTTTAACTCTCTTGATTGTGTCCTTTGATATATACAAGTTTTAAATTATGATTAAGTCCAGTTTATCTATTTTTTCTTGGGTTGCTTGTGCTTTTTGGTGTGATATCCAAGAAATTATTGCCAAATCCAATATCATGAAGATTTTCCCCAGTGTTTTCCTGTAAGAGTTTTATAGATTTAGGTCTTTGCATTTAGGACTTTGATCCACTCAAGTTAACTTTTGTATATGGTGTAATGTAAATAGTAATGTGTTTTTAATTTTAAATTCCAGTTCATTACTGGTGTGTATGAATGTGACTGACTTTTTTTACACTAACCTTGTATCCTGAAGCCTTATTACAATTGCTTATCAGTCCCAGGAGGTTTTTTTAATAGATTCTTTAGGATTGCTACATAGATGGTTATGTCATCTGTGAACAGTTTTATCTTTTTTCCTTCCAATCTGTATCTCTTCTCTTCTCTTCTCTTCTCTTCTCTTCTCTTCTCTTCTCTTCTCTTCTCTTCTCTTCTCTTCTCTTCTCTTCTCTTCTCTTCTCTATTAGCTAGGACTTATAGTATGATGTTAAAATGCAGTAGTGAGGGAGCACCTGGGTGGGCTCAGCCAGTTAGGGATCTAACTCTTCATTTCGGCTCAGGTCATGATCT